ACAGGCATATTCTGCTCTGTGTCTGGCTGCTATGAGAGGAGGCTCTAAGCAGGCAGTTTTCAGGATCTTTTGTGTGGAGGAGCTCTGACTGAAGATTTCTGTTTACAATGGAAAGGAAACTTCACAGGCATGAATGAGTGCCAAATAGGAGCTAGTGAGGGGAATGACACTGACATGGGACTAAAGCAGGGATGGGCAATGTGAAACACCTCCCTGCCAGATGTTGTCAGACTGCAGCTCCTGGCATTAATGCTGTAATGTCTATAATGGAAACTCTTCGTCTTTTTATCATGACCAGCTAAGAGGAGATCAGGTTCAGAAAGAGGAGCAGCCCAAAATGGCTGGCTGCTCAACTAACCAATTGAGCAACCCTATTTCCTTTCTCACAGACTGATGGAATGGCTGCTGGATGGCAGGAGAAGGAATGAAAGGGCCTCCTTATTTCTTTAGTAATGGGTTCTGGGATAGTTAATATCCTAGTGGGCATTCTAGAGTGCTGTAGGTCTGACAGAGCTTTACTGGAAAATTATTGTTTTGATCATCTTTGTGCCATAACATCTAGCCACAGAGCTCTACATCTTCTCCCTTCATACAATAGGCTGTAAAGCCAGAAAACCAGTAAAACCCATGGTTTCCCAAAGGGCAAATAGAATCGTAAGAGAAAGGCAATGTTATGTCATCCATTAAAAGGAACAGATACTTCACTGCTGCTTCAAAAATCCATTGGCACCTGAAGTATGCACACATTTTACTCAATGCTTGCTCTGATACACAGTAAAAACTCTTTTGCTGCTTTCGCCACATGGCCCAAAAGCAGCCTCCTAACTAAGTCATAAAATGCAGAGGGTTTTTCTTGGATGGGTTGAGAAAAGCAACCTGTGAAGCATCTCTGAAGAGGCATTACATTAGAATAAGGCTTGGTTTGAATTTTGCTTCAGTGCTTTGCTCCAAGGCATTCCTCCTCTTTCCACACAGAAAACTGAAAGCAAACTGTTCACTACATCCAATTCAGGTTGCAAAACATTCCAACCATCTACCCTCTTGACAAAAGTTGAAACCAGCATCCAAATTTCAAAAGGCTTCGAAGACCAGGGGCTTGGCAGACAAACAATGAAACCATCTTAAAATGTTCTTGATGGCTTTTCAGCTGCAATAATATGGAAAACTTTATCTAACGTGCGGAAGGAGATCAGTACACAGGTTTTAATATTTGGTGGTTCCATGGAAAGAAAAAGTGTGAAGGCAAGAGGAGAAGGGGACAACAGAGGACGAGATGGTTGGAGAGTGTCTTCAAAGCTACCAACATGAATTTGGCCAAACTCTGGGAGGCAGTGGAAGACAGGAGGGCCTGGCGTGCTCTGGTCCATGGGGTCATGAAGAGTTGGACATGACTTAATGACTAAACAACAACAATGGAAAGAAAATGCTCAATAACACTAGGAATCAGTTTGCATGAAATATAATCAAGAAAACAACTCGTACATTAGAATCTCCATTATTTAAAAGATCTCATTGCTGGATTAATGAAATTTAATTTAAGCTAGTTAAATGAAAACACACTTATCTAATCTAAGTGAAACTGAGGAGACTTTTAATATATTAACAGCTTTAAAAATCACCAAATGCTTGCTCTCCCATGTTAAAGTTACAAATCAAGAATAAATAAGTCCTCTACGAGCCAAAGGTAATTAATATACATCTTCTAAATACATCTTCTTCGAAAAGCAAATGTTTTAATTCATGTTTATTTTAATTTTACGCGAAAGCTTCAGACTGAGGATGGTCTATTTATAAAGATCAACAAAAGCATAGTAAGTGGAATCGGTGAAGATATTATCACAACATGAAATTTTACTTTAAAAAATCAATTAAATAAGCACTACATTGGGAAGGATTCTGAAATAAAATTTTTATGATAAATGGTTTGGGGGGTTTTATAGTAAAAGCAGCTTTTTTCATTCTTTTTGTTTGTTTTGAGGGGGAAATGTAATTAAAAAGGTAATGGCTATGCTTCTTCAAAAGGAAAAGCAAGCGGCACACCTCTGCTCTATAATATTTGTTCTCTAAGTGGTCATTGGTATATAGTCACATATATGGGTCTGCATTTATGCAGAACTAAACAATTCATATTCCGCATTTATGCAGAACTGCACCGATAAAGACTAGTGAGTTTACTTTCAGAAATATCCAGAATGTAGGAATACATCCGTCTTCATTGGAGCACAGTGGAGAGAACTGGTCTCATTGAAGAAGCATCCCGGTGAGAAATCGGTGTCTAGGTCATAGTGTCATAATGTTGAACAAATGTTAATAGTTGGAACTCAGCCGCTGTTCAGGTAGGGAGATTCTAAAAGGCAGCAGAGGTGGCTAGTATGCTGATGGAATGACCGCCTTGGGTTCTTTTTAAGAAGAAAGGAGGGATAAAAATATTTTAAATAAATAAATTATGTTTTGGAGCTGTTGGTGAAAGAGTCTTATGTGAATGTGAGTGTTTTCATAGGCCATTTGGCAAGACATTGGGAAGATCCTCAGAGTCCTTTTTTCAGGGCAGAATGAGCCAGGAACAACCATGTAGAAACTATTAAGTAGGACCTGTTCTCTGATTGTAAAATACAAGCACAATCCTTGCATCAAGCATTTGCAAGGCTTTTTCCAAAGCTGATAGAAAAAAGGTACATTGCATAATATTCTAAGAGAAGTGAGAGACTGAGAGTATTTTAAGTAAGAAGGATGGTCAGGGCAAAAAATACAGTAGGACCCCTGCATCCATGGGGGATCAGTTCCAAGGCCTCCCTCCTGGCATAAGTATGGATTATTGCTAACACAGTCTGTTGGACCCAGAACTCTCCATACCTATAATTTTTATCTTGATGGGGTCTCTATGAGTAAGAGCCCAGTTGAAATCTTCTCATTCCTCAACATGCTGAAGACTCAAGATGACCATCTTAGTCTCCCTCTCTCTCTCACACACACACACACAAACACAATCTCAATGCCTCTGAGGGTTTTCTTCTTTGAAGACAATTAAGAATGCATTTCCTTGTTTACCTGGAAGTATTGAGGAAGGGGGTAGCTGGAAGACAGGAAGGGCGGGAGATGGGAAACCTTTCCCAGGTGGCAGTTTGGCTCAGGTTAGAGCCCCTCCTCCTGCCTCACCAGCCAGCTCTGCTCTCAGTTTTACAACAATGTTGCTCCGGAACATAGAGGAAGCTGCCACAAGCTGCTGGGAGACTAGATGAAATGGTGGGAGCTTACCTATATAGTACAGTGTCTGGTGTGGTCAGTTCTGATCATTACATCTTAAAGATCTGTATTTCTATTTTTTCCCATGTATTTAATACCTGTGATCATTACATCTTAAAGATCTGTATTTCCATTTTTTCCCCATGTAATGTATTTAATACCTGTATTTTCAGAGTGTAGATATGTGAATCAGTGAATACTGATCCCATGGATAAGGGGGCCCTACTATAACCCTATCTGGGTGCCAAACTAAATAAAGCTGATCCACATTCAATGTGCAATGTACAGACTCTTCCTAGAATGCAAGGAAGGCTACCTTGGTTGACAGGAGCTCCAAAGAGGCAATGGCCAGAGGTTGAGAGGAGTCTTCATGAATTGCATAAGTATCAATGAGAAGCTCCCAGGTAGACAGCATGGAGCAGGTGCCAGGAATGGATCCATAAGTATCAATGAGAAGCTCCCAGGTAGGAGCAGGTGCCAGGAATGGATGTTCATTCTGCAAGAGCATTTTGTGCGTTCCAGTAGGAGTGTAGTAAAGAATGTGGAATAAAGTGGGTTGATAACACGGCTAAACCTCAATTGAAGGATAACCTTCAATCCAACAGGAATAGTAGGAAATGTAGAATTTGGAAAAAAATGGTCAGATACAAATCAGAATAGAAGGCTTGTTGTAACAGTGACACACTAATGTTTATAGATTATAGCTTGAATCTAGTTTGAATCTAGTTTGGCTCTCCTACATTCAGATCCTCCTGAATGTGGTCTTCGATGGAAGACCAATGCTGTTTCTCTGAGGATGACAAAAGGCCAGAAGGGCGGTCAGCAGTAAACCTGGCTTAATGACTGGACACAGGGAAATCAATGTTGCCTTGGCAATGAAGGTGCAGTACGTTCTCTGAAGACAACCATAGTGAATAGGAGAAAGGATGAACACTTTTACAGATTCCTGTCCTGCAAGGTGAGGAAAGATACACCTTCCAGAAAGCCAGACCCGTTCCCCACTTAAATGCAGTACTGCTGCAGCTTTTGGTTCAATGCTGAAACATGCTGATTTGAAATCAACCCCATCTCTTGAACTGAGCCAAAAAGCTCAGAATTAAATTCTGACTTGTGTATTTCCTGGTGGAACCTGCTTAGAAAATGTGCCAGATGATTTGTCTTGCTTGCTGCATACACTGCTACCAGAGAGATGTGACAAATGCAGCAATGGCACAGGATGAGGACCAGCAGTGTTTTGGATCAAGATCCATTCTGTTTCTTGTACCAGACAGTTGTGGAGTTGTTGATGGCAACTTGGACTTCAATTCCAGCAAGTAGCAGTACAAAGGCTTTGCAGAATTTGATAACAGCCAGCAGCTCTATAAACCTAATGGGGTACTGGGCTTTTCTTGGTATTTTCCTGCCTTGGATTGCAGGGATGGAGACAATGTCCTCCATAGCTCACTATCCACTACACATTTGGTACCCGTCCAGAAATTTCTAGTAATTAAAGTGGACCTCATGATGGACATTGCAATTAAAGTAATCAGGGTCTTTGAAGAATGAACAGTTATCTCAAGAAGAAGTTCATAGCATTGAGCCACTGCAATACTATCTGTAACACTAGAAAAATCTCCAGTTTAGTAACTGCATTGGCTCTCTAGACAATTGTACGAGGGCTTAGCTTGGAACCAAGTGCAGTTCACAGATCAGAACCAAGATATGTGCAATAAACCAACAATAATTACACCAGGTAGAGCTGAAGATGAGATTGCTTTGGGGTTTTATTAGAAACATCAAGAAAAAAAAATTAGCTGAATTCATCAATGGAGACGACAGTATTCAACTAAAACACTGCGAACAGCTGTTAACACTTCAAAATTAAAGTGACATTTCAGTAAACTTAATAAAGACAGAGTAGAAATACCATTATGATTAGAAATTGCTCTTTAAAAGCCTGGATACTCATATACACTCACCCTTCCTTGCCAAATGATTCCTATCTGCTTATTAAATTACAGATGTTCCTAAGGAGGTTTCCTAGTATAAAAATAGATATTGCGACTCTGGTTCTCAAATATGAAGATCCAATGAGGAATAAAAATATTTCATTACATTATTAAGATATTTTTAGTTTTTAAAGAGATTCTAATGCTTAATCATAAAAAGTGGCTTATAATAAATTACTGATTTTTTTTCCAGTTTGGGAGAAATTTGGATTAGGTATTTTTCACTGAGTGTGGTTCAGGGAACAGGATGAATTACGGGATGCAATCTCAACTTTCCCCAAACTGAAGCAAAATCAACTAATTGTTTCAGATTTAAATTATTTCTGATAAAATCACTGCATAATACATCTGAAGCACCTTTTGTTGTAAAATGCTAATTATGCATATACAGTACCTTTCCATACTTTGTCATAAAATATCTTATTTACACACAAAACAATTTCTGTTACAGTACTTAGTTCCTGATTAATATAAAATGTGCTTATACGTTGTCTGAAATTTTATCGTATCTTTGAAATTAAAATATATGAAGTAGCTTATGTACGTATATATCTGGATATGTATATTTTAAAAACTCAATAAAAGAAATTCACAAGTGGTATGAGAAGTTGATTGAGGCTTGATTGATAGAAGGAAAAGCAAAAGGTTACAGAGCTTCATACCACAAGATGCTTTGGCATTTTACAGTATATGGTGCATCTTCAGGTTTACCTTGCTTCACTTTCACTACACAGTGGAGATGTTGTTTTCAGTCACTATTTGGCATATGTTGAACCACAGAATCGGCACAGCTTTTGTAAATACAGCTGTTCTTGACTGCAGCCAGAGATGAAGAAAATGGTGCAGAGCTGAATTTCCCACAGTGAAACTGCATGCTCTTTGTTGCTTTAGTATTTCTCTTTTTCTGTTTGCGGTTTCATTCCATTGACCACCTTACTTGAATTTAAATCCAACGGAAAAGTACTTTTGGTAAATGCTGCAGAAGAGAGGAAGATAAAAAAAAAGGCAAACACTTATTTGCTGAAAATTCAAAATGAGAAACAACCAGAGATCTGGGTTCCTTTTTGAACAGATAGAGATGGTTCCACTTACACTGCTGCACTGCATTATACATGAGTCTACATTTGGAGGCTGCTTCAAAGTTTCAGGTGGTGCCCAATATTGGAGCTATAGAGACTATTAGGAACACTATGTTATACATATCTCAGAGCATATCTCATTGATTTAGAACAGTGAGGGTTAACCTTTTTGAGCCCAAATGCCCAACCTAGGAATAAAAACCATAACCAGTGGGCGGTGGTAGCGGTGGTGGAAATTTTAACCTTTTTGAGCCCAAATGCCCAACCTGGGGGAAAAAAATCACAACCAGTGGGCGGTGGTAGCAGCGGTGTAAGGAGGAATCCCGGGCATGGAGGTGCTGCTCTGGATCCTGGCCCACCGCCTGTTGGGGCACTAGCATCGCAGCTGCAGCTGCTTCCTCAGGTTTGGCTGCCATGGGCAGTGGTCCTGAGACTTATGGCTTGCATGCCCACAGAGAGGACTCTGCGTGCCAGCTGTGTCATCCGTGCCATAGGTTTGCCATTGCAGGTCTAGAACAACCGCAGTGACTTGGTCTGTTTTGGACCCCAATACTTCGCTTTTTTAGCCTTCAAAGACCTAAACATTTTAGGAACCATAAACCTGAAGGGACAGCCATTTTCCCCATATGCAGTTACTCCAAAAGGTCACCTTGAGAGGCTTCTGTTCAGGATTTTCTGTCCCTTGTGCTAAGGTGATTAGTGATCTGAGATATGGGAAAGCAGTTCTGTACAGATTTCATACGAGTATAGTAAATGTGCCTCCCGTGAACCAATTAATACAACCAATACAGAGTGTGACATTTGCACTTTGATCAGTAGGCCGAGGCAAAGAGGCAGCCCTGAAACCAGCAAAACCAGGGAGCTGGACAGGGGACAGATAGTATTTGTCTTCTGTGTGGAAGGGACTGCCACTCTCAAATTGGCCTTCTCAGACGCACTAGACGCTGTTCCAAGACCTCTATTCAGAACATGTTACCATATTCTCTCAAGTATGAAGGATGCTACTGTGTGTGTGAAGAGAGTGATCTAGTTTTCTGGTGAAAGGCAGCCCACCAAACCAAGGCCAGGATTGAAAATCTGGGAGCAACAACAGCTCAACAGAACTGAAACTGACAGATATGTTTACCTGTATCTGAGACAGTTTTTCTACTTGTGGTTTGCCAGCTGTTAAACACTTTCCCTCTCAGGGAAGCTGGCCTGGTATTGAGTGTGGAGTCTTTTTGGCACTGCAAATACTCTCTTATTAACCAGATTCTTGTTTTTCACCATGGTTTGGTACTAATGTTGTATTTCTGCCTACTTTGTACTGTATTTTAAACCATATTGATTGTACCACTGTTAATTGTTCAGTATTTGAAAATGCTGAATTGTTCAGAGTGTTCAAGTTAAAAAATCAGGATAAAATTTAATAAAGAATTAAAGAAACAAGCAAATTGCACACGCCAGCCATTGAGATATGAATAGGACATTTTGAATGTGGATATCTAAGTGGTTTAGGTTTCTGGATGAAGAACTAGAGGTGGGGGGGGGTCTGATTCCTCACTGTCCCTCCTTGAATCCATAGGATCCCTTCCAACCCCGTAGTTCTAAGATAACTATTATTCCAAGACAATGCCCATATAGGAGTAAAATAGCAGACACAACCCTTTTTCTGCAATGGAATGGAACCCCCATTTCCACAGTTCCTGACAAAAGAAGGAAAGGATGGTTTAATGAGTGGAGAACAGGTTGTGCGGCTGGGTGATCACTTAGATTGCTCTGTAACTAGGCTACATTATCCTTCATGCCCAAACTGTGGTGAAAAGAAATCTGAGGGAACACTGAGGCAAAGGTGTGATCATGTTGTTACTGTCTCATAACTAGAGACTTCTGCTTTCCACAGACTAGCAGTGGGTGCAGGAGAACACCTTATAATTAGAACCAATGGGCCACATTAATAGTTCTATTGAAAACAGTTGCTGTGGAGTGTGGGTCTTGAATCACTTAAGAGAATGAGTATTCTACAACTGGAGAAAAAGCTAGACAGAGTCACTGACTGCTTGTGGTGACCTTTATTTGTTTTCCCCACAATAGCAGGCTTTCAAAACGGTTCAATATGCGAAATCTATAGAAAATGTGTTTGCTTCAGGCTTACATTCATTTGATGTTCTACAGGAAACCTGCTCCAGAGAGATACATACCAAGGAAACAAACTGCCCCACAGAGGAACAGGTCTGCATTTGCTTGTCCACAGCTTTGCAGTCCCATCCGTATTTGAGAGATAATTGTAACACATTATGTTTCGTGTTGGTTTCCACTTAGCTCCCACTAACTTGCTGAATTTTTCCAAGCATAAGAAACAAACAAATAAAAGTAGTTTCCCCACTCCTCCCAATCAAGCAAGAACAGCTGTAAAATGGGGGTCTTCAAATCACCATGGAACTGAGGTATGCTCCCAGGTAAGAACATTTAATTTGGACTTTCTTAATGGTGTGTAAATTGCTACAGATTGAGGGATAATTACCCCTGAAAAGCTGGAATCCCACTTCAGCTGTGGTTGGGTTTTGGAAATCTGCTCTTTGAATGAAAGGTGAGGGGAACACAACTCAGTAACCGCATTTTGACCTAAAGGAGAAGTGGAGAACAAGCACCAATTCACCTTGTATTACAGATAACTAATACAATGTTTTAAGATATGTTGTTGAGGTGTAAATTATGGGATGGACATAACCAAAGGAATACCAGCCAGCCCTTGCTTCTCAGTGCTTATCTGTCACACGTTTACAGACACTTCAAGTTAAAAAAAAAACAATAATTGCAAAAGCAATGATAAAATTTGCATGAGGGCTTATAACAATGTCATGGGCTGCCACTGTAAAAGAAACATTAACAATATTTGAGTTACCTTATTATGCAATCCAATAACATAGTGGAATTGCCTATCTCGTAATAGTGTGTATAATTTTCAGCAAAGGTGAGAGGAATGAAAGACTGATCAACATTCACTGGCATGGTCACAAGCTTGTGTGATCATATCATTTCTCGGAGCAGCAAGGAAGAATGCAAAAGACGACCTTGCAACCACTCCTACAAAATAAGCAACTGATGAACAAAGTGACTTTAGTATCATGCTTCCTAAGATGTATGAAATGTATGTTTCAATCAATTTGATCCTGGTTTCAAATCCTGCTCTGTAGGGCAAGCACAAATCTGTTGTTTCTGGCAGCCTGTTAACCAAAGTCAGTCAATCATCACTTGAGGAGGTTGCTGCGCTATGCTGTTAACCTAGGTCATCTAGAGATTTTCACTTCCTACTACTAATACTTGGAAATGAGTCCTGATACTGATGCAATTTTATTACACATTCTTCTATTTACTGAATAGTTTGTGCACGGGGCTGTAATGGATATGATATATTGAGTATTGCATAATCCTGGATATTTATTTAAATTCGTTTAAAATATTTTTACCCTGTCTTTCTCCTAAAAAAAGACCTGAGGCAGCTTACATCATTACAACTTTTAAAGCTAAAAAGAGTAAGTATAGAAATACTAAAAAAAGATCAAACAAATAGTACTCTAAGAAATGGTAAACAATAGCAATACTGTACTATGTATTGCTGCTTCTTGGGAGGAAAGCGATGACAAACCTTGACAGCATCTTAAAAAGCAGAGACATCACCTTGCCAACAAAAGTCCAAATAGTCAAAGCTATGGTTTTTCCTGTAGTGATGTACGGGAGCGAGAGCTGGACCATAAAGAAAGCAGACCGCCGAAGAACTGATGCCTTTGAATTGTGGTGCTGGAGGAGGCTCTTGAGAGTCCCCTGGACTTCAAAGAGAACTAACCTATCCATTCTAAAGGAAATCAACCCTGAATGTTCACTGGAAGGACAGATCCTGAAGCTGAGGCTCCAATACTTTGGCCATCTCATAAGAGAAGACTCCCTGGAAAAGACCCTGATGTTAGGAAAGTATGAAGGCAAGAGGAGAAGGGGACGACAGAGGATGAGATGGCTGGACAGTTTCTGCGAAGCAACCAACATGAAATTAACACAACTACGGGAGGCAGGGGAAGATAGGAGGGCCTGGCGTGCTCTGGTCCATGGGGTCACGAAGAGTCGGGCACGACTAACGACTAGACGACGACTAAGAACATATTCAAAGCAGTAAGACACAACATTAAAAAATGCCACTCAGGTCACTGAGGGGAAGCCTGCCTGAAGGGAAAGGTCTTTGCCTGCTTGTGGAAGGACAAAGACAGGACTAGCCTGACCTCCTGTGGGAGGGTGTTCCAACCTCTGGGAGCAGCAACAGAGAAGGCCCTCTCCTGTGTCTCCATCAAACACTCCTGTGAAAGTGATAGGACCAAAAGAAAGGTGTGATGATCTTTATACCCAAGGAGGCTCATAAGATGCGATCCTTGAGATAGCTTGGATCCAAGTCACTTAGGGCTATAGAGGTTAGATCCTATATAGCACTCTGAACTGAGCCTGGAAATGGATGGGCAACCAGTGGAATTGCTGTAACTGGGGGGTGTTATGTGATCTCTGTAACCAGCCCCAGTCAGCAATCTGGCTGCTGTAGCTTGGACTGGCTGTCCAGTTTCTGGACACTCTCCAGAGGCAGCCCCACATAGAGCGCATGACAGGAATCCAGTCAGGATGCAACTAAGCATGTGTCACCATGGGCAGATCAGAGCTCTCTAGGATCTTGTACTTTAGAAATGAGTAAGAGCTGCAAATGGATGGAAAGACCTAAGTGACGAACTCTGCTGACATGGCAGTGGTATTCAAATACATACAACAACCATGCAGGAAAGCCTCTCTCACTAGAATACAGTAAAGGTGCTGCCAGAAAGCTACAGTAAAGCTGCTTTCAAGAACTGCTGTTTTTGTGTGGAAGAGGACCACATGAGATACTGTTCACAATTTTCTAAACTACAGTATTTGATGGTCTGTAGACAGAGTTTATTTGTTTATTCTGCAGGATATCATGTCCTGTTGGATTCCTTCCTCTTCATCCTCTCTTCTCTGTTCTCCAAAGAAAATAATAGGAAAGTTGCACGTCATCTGGGTGAAATGTTGCACCTCAAAAGCACTGCAAACAAGGACTGCTAAACATTAAGCATTATGAATACATAGCAGGGTAGAATGCAGAATTATGAATAGTAATGGCCAGGTGGAATAGCAAATCCTGTTTACTTTTTCAGTTGCATGAGGACCAGAAGGTGCATGATAAAAGAAAAGCAATACACTTAAAATATATTAAAAGGAAAGCCTTTTAATGCAATACATTATTTAACCTTTGGAATCTGTTGCCTTTGCCAAGAGATGATGTGGAAACTAACCTACCAGAATGTAAGGAAAGGATTGGGGACAAGTGATTAAACATTAATTTGGATGCTAAAATATTAAACATGACATTTAAAAGTAATTAATGCTTCAGGATGCAGTTCAAGTGTCCATATTGGGTTAAAGCTGTCAACGATTTTCCAGTGAATTAGTGATTATTGTTTCAACTTATGAAACAGGAATAGTTTCCTGTTCATATTTAATACTGGCTTACCCCACTAATATCTGAAAAGATAACTCAGTGATTTGGGATCTAGCTGTGGAGCCAGAGGTTAGGACTAAATTTCCCTTCTGTGTCTCCTGTGGAGAATAGCCAGTCTTGGTGGCTTTGGGAAAAGTATACAGTCCTAGAGGGCCCCCATTAAAAGAGAATGGCAAACTACTTCTAAGTAACCTGTTATCTAGGAAACCCTATAAAGCTGTAAGTCAGAATCATAATTATTATTACTCACTAACTGTAGCCATCCCTAAAGTACTCCTATTCTACATATCTGATGACTGCCAAAAAGAGTATAAATACTTAATAGATTAGCTCTATAATAAAAGAAACTATTATACATATTCCTGCTGGGCCTTCGCACTGTGAAGGCTATAGTACACACCCATGCTATTAAATTCTAGCTGAAACTGAAAAAGGGGATAGGATCGGATCTAGTACTGGCTGCTTTTAAAGAGATGCTCAGTTTGAAAAATAGGACAATTTTATCTTGGAATCAGGACATTTTACAAATTATTGATATGTATGGTCTTTCTCGTGATGTATGGAAGTGAGAGCTGGACCATAAAGAAAGCAGACCGCCGAAGAATTGATGCCTTTGAATTGTGGTGCTGGAGGAGGCTCTTGAGAGTCCCCTGGACTGCAAGGAGAACAAACCTATCAATGCTAAAGGAAATCAACCCTGAGTGCTCACTGGAAAGACAGATCCTGAAGCTGAGGCTCCAGTACTTTGGCCATCTCATGAGAAGAGAAGACTCCTTGGAAAAGACCTTGATGTTAGGAAAGTGTGACGGCAAGAGGAGAAGGGGACGACAGAGGATGAGATGGCTGGACAGTGTCTGTGAAGTAACCAACATGAAATTGACACAACTACGGGAAGCAGTGGAAGATAGGAGGGCCTGGCATGCTCTGGTCCATGGGATCACGAAGAGTCAGACACAACTAAACAACTAAACGAACGAACGATGGTCTTTCTCATGATCTTTTAAATGCTTTTAATTTAGAAATGGCAGCACGATACTTGAAATCCCATCTTTTAAAATATGATGTTCGAGCTGACCGTATTTCTGCCTGTCTGTCAAAATGTGCATCCTGGTGTGCTAACTTACCTATTAAAACACCTCGCCCACAGTATTTAACAAATATATCACATTTTAAATGGAGAAATGCTTTTACAGTGTTACGTTGCCAGTATATGAGTTCTGCAGTGGTTGAAGGATGTTACCAACGGATTCCTTTGGAGGAAAGAGTTCGTCCATGTGGATCTAATGCTGTTGAAGATCTGACCCACTATTTAGTTGACTGCCCAATGTATAAAGATCAGAGAGTAGCTTTGCTCCAAGAGTTAGGTCTCACATTTGATAGATCTGGTGCATATTTGATAATTTTTCTATTGGGGGATAAGGTGCCATACATTTCTGAAAAGGCAGCCGGTTTTGCTTTTAGAGCAACGGTTTTAAGAAAGAAGTTTTGTACAGTGGACCCTCGACTTACAGACGGCTCAACTTACAGACTTTTCGAGTTACAGACTTCTCTGGCAGCAAAATTTAGATTCGACTTGCAGCCAGAGAATCGACTTACAGACCAGAAAAAATCCAAAATAGAACAAAAATAGAATAAAAACCGCCAGTTATGGGATTAATCGGTTTTCAATGCATTGTAGGTCAATGGAGATTCGACCTACAGACTTTTCGACTTGCAGCCACCATTCCAATATGGATTAATTCCGTAAGTAGAGGGTCCACTGTAGTTACAATGATCAGGGCTTGGGACCTGGATACCTGAAGGACCACCTTCTTCCATATGAACCTATCCAGCAACTGAGATCTAGCCAGAAGGCTCTCCTGAAAGAGCTGTCCCTCAGTGAGGTGAGAAAGATGGCCTGTAAGCGGAGGGCCTTTTTGGCAGCTGCCACCGGTCTTTTAAATGCCCTCCCAAATGACATCCGACTGGCGCCGACAATACTGACGTTTCGGCACCAGGTTAAAAACTTCCTGTTCCAAAAGTTTCCTAATTGAAGGTTTTAATTTTAATTGATAAAGTCATGGATCTAGAT